TTGGATTTATTTAAGGGTGATGTGTTATGTTTTTTGGATTTTTTAAAAGGTGATGTGTTAGGTTTTTGGATTTTTTAAAAGGTGATGTGTTATGTTTTTGGATTTTATTTTAAAAGGTGATGTGTTAATGATTTTGGATTTTTAAAAGTGATGTTAGTGATTTGGATTTTTAAAAGTGATGTGTTAGGTTTTTTGGATTTTTAAAAAGTGATGGAGTAAAATAACAGAAAACAAAGGCAAAAAGACAGAAATCAAGATAAAAAAGAAAAGGAAGAGAGCATAAAGATCACACAGAAGGAAATAAACAAAAGGGAAGCAATTGTGAAGGAGAGACATTAGCTTAGATCCAAAGCGAAGGGAATTAGATTCGAGAGGAAGATCATCTGCTGTTGTTTTTTTTTTATAGATTTGAAAAAACGTATGTGTGAATTGTTTAGATTTTTAAAAAGTGATATGTTTTTGTTTTTTGGATTTTTTAAAAAGTGTTGTTGTTTTTTAGATTTTAATAAATGTGTTTTTTATTTTTTTAAAAAGTGATATTGTGTTTTTTGGATTTTTAAAAAGGATATATTTTTTTAGATTTTTAAAAAAAGTGATTTTCTTGTTTTTTATTTTTAAAAAGGTTGTGTTGTTTTTAATCTTTAAAAGTGATGTGTTGTGTTTTTTTTAGATTGCTTTTACGTTTGGGGAAAATATGATTGCGATGTGGAAATATTTACTCATTAAAATTTTTGTTCTCTGGCGTTTCCCTTCTACATGTAGATTACCTTTATATCATGATATGAAATACATTATATATTTGTTATTATGTAAAATACTTTTACGTTTTTCGTTCTCTATCGTGTTCATTGGTATTTCGAATTTGAGTAATATGAGTTATCTCTTGCTTATGATATAGATTTCCTATATATCGTGATATGAAATGCTTATAGATATTTAAGTTCCAGACTAGTCTTTCGAATTTGAACAATATCAAATATCCCTTCTACATGATACAAGTTACCTATATATCATGCTATCAATTAGATAAACATTTTCCTTTCATATCTTGTTCACTGATCTTGAGTAATATCAGGTATTCATTTCTATATGATATAGATTGGATACAGATCGTGCTATAAATTGAATATATATTTTCCTTTTCCAGACATTGACGAGTGTGCCGAGCAGATCTCAGGATGCCACTTCACACAGACCTGCTCAAACACATGGGGTTCTTACCACTGCACTTGCCCACGGGGATTCAGCTCCTCAGGACCGGGGCAGCCTTGTTTAGGTTCGTGAGGTTTTCCTCTTCGCAACGTGCAAGTATTTGGGTGTTGCAAAATGTTGATGTAAAAGATATGTGTAGATATATAATTTCTTAAGCTTCGTGGAATTCATGCATCCTAGAATTCAGTGTACATTGATTAAGAGCATCCCTCCAGAAAATATACTATTATATCGGTTGTATATGGTATATTAGCTGTTATATATAGCCTGCTTTCTGTTGTATATGGCATATTATCTGTTATGTATGACATAGTCTTCTCATTTTTTATATATAAAAAATGTTTCTGAATTTCGGATACAGGTGTTATATAGAAATGATTGACTGCTGCATGTCTCATTCCTGGCATTTTGATCATTTTGAACAGCATCCGCCATCAGTTATGGAGGTGGAGAATTTACAGTGCTATAGTATGCATATTTCTTTAAAAACTTACGGTTGAATAAAGTAATAAAGTAAAGTATACCTCACACTACTACCTTGAATAGAAATTGCCATATTTTAAAAGTATTTGTCACTTTTCATTTACAACAGATTTTTATATGCAGTCAAAAAAGCTATTGTTGTATTCTTTTAAAATAAAAAAAATCAAGGGAGAATGTAGAGGAAAAAACTAAATATCATAATAAAAACAAAGTAAAAATTATTTTCACCATCATCAGACACAACACAACGAATTCCCATGTATAAAGAAAATCCTCATCCTTAGCATCATCCTCAAACATTTCGTCTCACAAAGTCCAAGTCTCTCCTCATTATCCTCACGATAATCATCACCAGACTTTCACCTCATAAAGCCCCAAGTCATTATCCTCACGGCTCACCCAGTCCTTTCACCTCATAAAGCCCCTTATTATCCTCACGATAATCACACCAGACTTTTCACCTCATAAAGTCCCAAGTCTCCCCTCATTATCCTCACCACCAGACTTTTCACCTCCTAAAGCCCCCCCTCATGACCCTCACCATATTAAGCTGTGATTATGTGGCGTAGATGTGAATGAGTGCCTGGCAACCCCTCCGCCGTGCAAGTACCAGTGCCACAACCTCCGCGGAACTTACGAGTGCATTTGCGGCCCCGGGGAACAGCGGCTGCCAGACGGGAAGTCCTGCGTTGGTGCGCTATGCCGAGCTCCTTCTGTTTCCTAAACGTCCTGGACTTGTTCCCGGGAAGGATAAGATACTGTATATAGTCTGCGATAGAGAGATTCAATGGGTTTGTTGTGGGTTTAAGAGAGAATAGGTTATATAGTCTGCGATAGAGAGATTCAATGGGATTGTTGTGGTTTTGAGAGAGAATAGTTCTTTACTCCATGGTACTGAAGCCCTTTTTATAAATTGATTGAAAAAAAGCGAGATGACATATATATGCGAGAGGTCATAATGCTAATTGTTGTATTTTTGAAATGTAAAAAAAAAACAAAATCAATCAGTTTTTTGAACCCCAATATTCACACAGACGATTATAAACCCTTTTTGAAATACTCCCCCCCCCCTACCCCTCTCAAAGACATCCCCCCTCCCCCCCAAAAAAAAAAAAAAATAAATAAAATAAAAAAAATATTAAAAGACGAAACAGTCAGCTCTAAATGCCGCATTGCAGGGCTTCAGTACCTGGAGGAGGAAGGCGGTCGGGCGGCCCTCCCGACGCGGCGCCAGAGACCTCGACCCGCACCGGGCTATCCGACATCCGAATTCCAGGAACGGCTCCTGCACTCCATCTACACGCGGAGGAGCTGCCGGGAGGGATTCGCGCTCGAGGACGATGAGTGTCGAGGTAATGTGGGTGTGGGTGGGGGGAGGGAGGGGGGGGAGAGGGAGGGGAAGGGGAGTGGAAGGGGGAGAGGGAGTGGGAGGGGAGGGGGGGGAGGGAGGGGGGGGAGAGAAGAGGGGAGGAGAGGAGGAGAGAAAGAGAGAGAGGGGGAGAGAGAGAGAAAAAAAAATATATATATATATAGAGAGAGAGATTAAGCACAATGGATTTTACTATTATTTTTATACGATCAACTTTGCAGCTTCGAAGCAATATCCATAATGCGACTTCTCTGCTTTTGAGATTTAAGAATAACTTACCTTACGGTTTTTCTCATGTAAAAGCAGTGCCACTCGTTAAAATCATTGACGAAGAAGGTAAAATATGGATGTTTAAACGCTGGTCGACACGTTGTTAATGACATGGTTAATGACTATCTATGGCTTTTTGACTAATTGCTTCGCTCTGTTTGAATCTTTAACATAATGCCAAAGTTGAAACGTAACCTAAGCGCCGTTTTCGTTCTTCTCCGCTGCAGATTAATGAGAAAACTGGACGACAAATGGAATTATGAAAATAAATGCAAATATGAAAAGAAAATGTATCATCTATATTGTTTTTCATTGACTCATGGAAGAGTTTTCACGCATGTCATGTCATTTACTCACCATCATGTTAGTGTTCGAATTCCTTAACATGCAAAACAATAAATAAGAATCGTATAAAATAACAACGATGTATTATGAATATCGAAAGACAAATTAGACAAAAAAACTCCCAAATATGCAAAACAATAAATAAGAATCTTACAAAATAAAAATAATGTTATTTATGAATATCGAAAGACAAATTAAACAACAACAACACAAAAAAAAAAAACGCTTTTCAGACGTCATTGTTCGAGTTCCCTAACATCCAAAACAAAAAAAGTAAAAATCGTACAAAATAACAATAACGTCATTTATGAACATCGAAAGACAAATGAAAAAAAAACGAACAAAAAAACCAACATCTTCTAAGACGTCATTGTTCGAATTCCCTAACATGCAAAACAATAAGTAAGAATCGGATAGAATAAGTATGAATTTCGAAAGACAAATTAAACTAACAAAAAAAACGCTTTTCAGACGTCAGTGTTCGAATTCCCTAACATGCAAAAAAAGGTAAAAATCGTACAAAATAACAATAATGTTATCAATGAATATCGAAAGACAAATTAAATTAAACAAAAAAACGCTTTTCAGACGCCAGTGTTCGAACTCCCTAACATGCAAAACCAAAAAGTAAAAATCGCACAAAATAACAATAATGTTATTTATGAACATCGAAAAACAGATTAAACAAAAAAAAAAAAAGAAAAAAAAAAAACGCTTTTCGGACGTCAGTGTCCGAATTCCCTAACATGTAAAACAATAAATAAGAATCGTATAAAATAATAATGTTATTCATGAACATCGAAAGACAAATGAAAAAACGAACAAAAAAACAACTTTTCAGACGTCATTGTCCGAACTCCCTAACATGCAAAACAATAAGTAAGAATCGGATAGAATAAGTATGAATTTCGAAAGACAAATTTAAAAACTAACGAAAGCGCTTTTCAGACGTCAGTGTCCGAATTCCCTAACATGCAAAAAAAAGGAAAAATCGTACAAAATAACAATAATGTTTTCAATGAATTTCGAAAGACAAATTAAAAACTAACGAAAGCGCTTTTCAGACGTCAGTGTTCGAACTTCCTAAAATGCAAAAAAAAAAAAAAAAAAAAAAAAAAAAAAAAAAAAAAAAAAAAAAAAAAAAATCAATCAATCAATCGTACAGAATAACATTAACGTTATTTATGAATTTCGAAAGACAACTTATACAAACAAACAAAAAAACGCTTTTCAGACGTCAACGAGTGCACGCTGCCCGAGAGATGTCAGCACCGGTGCGAGAACACCATCGGGAGCTTCATGTGCTTGTGTCCACCGGGGTATCGACTCAATGCAAACAGAAGAACTTGTGACGGTAAGAGAAGAGTGCTAAGAGGTGCTGTAAGTGAAAAATGAGTAAGTGAAAGAATTTTCGATGGTAAGTACATGTTAATGTATGCTGTAAGTGAAAATGAGTAAGTGAATGAATCTTCGATGGTAAGTACAAAATGAAAATGTATACGGTAAGTCAATAAGTCAAAATGAGTGAGTGGAAGAATCTTTGATGGTAAGTACAAAATGGAAATGTATGCGGTAAGTATAAAATGAGTAAGTGAAAGAATTTTTTGATGGTAAGTACAAAATGGAAATGTATGCGGTAAGTATAAAATAAGTAAGTGAAAGAATTTTTGATGGTAAGTACAAAATGGAAATGTATGCGGTAAGTCAAAAATAAGTAAGTGAAAGAATTTTTGATGGTAAGTACAAAATGGAAATGTATGCGGTAAGTCAAAAGTGAGTAAGTGAAAGAATCTTTGATGGTAAGTACAAAATGGAAATGTATGCGGTAAGTCAAAAATAATTGAGTGAAAGAATCTTTGATGGTAAGTACAAAATGGAAATGTATGCGGTAAGTGAAAAATGAGTAAGTGAAAGAATTTTTGATGGTAAGTACAACATGTTAATGTATGCGGTAAGTCAAAAATGAGTGAGTGAAAGAATTTTTGATGGTAAGTACATGTTAATGTATGCGGTAAGTCAGAAATAAGTGAGTGAAAGAATTTGTCATGGTAAGTGCATAATGTATATGTGTGTGGTGTCAAAAAGATCTTATGAGTACAGATTGCAAAACTGTGCGGTAAGTCGGGTGAACTTGTGACGGTAAGTACGAAGATACAAAGAGGTGCGGTAAGTCAAAAATAAGTATGTGAAAGAATTTTTGATGGTAAGTACAAAATGCAAATGTATGCGGTAAGTAAAAAGGAACTTGGGATGTAAGAGCAGGCTGTAAAATGGTGCGGGAAGTCGGGTGTACTTGTGGCGGTAAGTACAGAATGTAAAGGTGAGTGGCAAGTCAAAAAGAAATAAGTGGAAGAATTATTTGATGGTAGATACAGAACACAAAAGTGTGTGGTAATTAATAAAAGGACCTGGATATCGTCTCAGTGCAAACAGAAGACCTTGTGAAGGTAAGAACACAATGCAAAGTGTGGTAAGTCAAAAAATTAAGTAGAAGAATTTATATGTTAAGTACATAATACAAAAAGGTGCGGTAAGTCAATAAGAAATGCATGGAAGAATTTGTGATGGTAAGTAGATAATAAAAAGAGGTGCAGTAAGTCAGACAGAAATAAGTTTGAAGAATTTTCGGCGGTAAGAACCGATTGCAAAACTGTATAAGCAAAAAATATCCGGAATATTAACTCCATGCAAATAGAAGACCTTGTGACGCCGAGTACAAAATACAAAACTGCGGTACGTCAAAAAGAACCGGAATATCTACTCATTCCAAACAGAATAATTTAGGGGAATCGTCAGAAAGACATTAGTGAGAGAACTTACAATGGTTAGTTCAAATGCAAAATGGTGCGGTAAGTCCAACAGAAATACGTGGAGAGACTTTTAGTAGTAAGTAGGGAATGCAAGGGCGGTCTGTGTGTCGAACAGAAATGAGAGAAAGAACATTCGACGATGAGCAGAGAATGCAAAAATGCGCCCAAGTTAAGAAGAAATAAGTGAAACAATTTACGATGTATAAGTACCAAATGCAAAAAAGTGTGCGATAAATCAGTAAGAAATAAGTGGAAATTAGTAGTGGTAAGTACAGAATGCAAAAAAGTATGGGAAGTCAAAAGAAATAAGTTTATTGAAAAAAGATATCAAAGTTTCGAACCCTGTCAATTTCTCAGCTTTCAGTAAACAATTGTTAAGAGCTATATCAGAATCAGTTTTTGATCTTGTATCTTTATTTATGTGTTTATTTATATATTCATGGAACTTTTTTTTTTAGTTTGTTATTCATTTATTTATATATTTACTTCTGACAGTTGTATCATGACGGTAGACTTTTTCATCTATTAGTATTTTTACTTTAATTACATCAGCACAGTAAAGTGTTTCCTCCCTGTTCTCTCCCCAGATATCAACGAGTGCCGCGAGCAGGACGTGCAGTGTGGCCGAGACCAGCTTTGCTTCAATCTTCGGGGTTCGTACAAGTGCGTGTCCGCCCCCTGCCCGCCCGAGTACCAGAGGGACCCAGCTACCGGGTACGTCCTTTTTTTATTGTTGACTTGAACTGCATTTGATTAATATTGTGGTTTTGTTGATTATGTTATACTGATTTCGTATTCGGATAATTTTGTTCGGTATAGGTTGTGAGACTGTGGAAATATGAGGTTGTGTTTTGACTCGTAATCGTGATTCGACGAAGAGTTCGCTTGGCTTCATGTTCGAAACATGATTCGAAGCGAAGAAAGCAAAGATTCGAAGCAAAGAAAGCATTGAATCGAAGCAAGGAAGGTCTCGATTCGAAGCGAAGAAAGCATTAATTCGAAGCAAAGAAAGCATTCATTCGAAGAAAGCAAAAGCAATTCATCGATGAAGCGAAAGCCGAAGCAATTAACCCGAATCACCAATTCCCGTATTCACAGGTCGTGCATCCTGGACTGCCGATGGGGTAAGAACAACTGCCCTCCCGGTGTGACGTATGCCCACATCCTGGCATTCAAGACGGCCTCGCTCCCAGCTGGAATACAGGCCTACCAGGACCTCGTGCGTCTCATGGCCTACGATCAGCATGGGAGCCTCGTCCCGCAGACGCTGTTCAGTATTATCGAGAACGAAACAGGTATGGGGGCTGGGGTGACGAGTGGGAGTGGGTTGGATGGTTATTTATTTACTTTTTTTATAGTCATCATCATTATTGTCGTCGTCGTCGTCATTGTTGGCATCATCATCGTCGCATCGTCATCGTCATCGTCATCATCATCGTCATCGTCATCGTCATCATCGTCATCGTCATCATCATCATCGTCATCGTCATCGTCATCGTCATCGTCATCGTCATCATCATCATTCATCATCATCATCATCATCATCATCGTCATCATCATCATCATCATCGTCACCGTCATCTCATCATCAATCATCATCATGTCATCATGTCATCATCATCACCGTCATGTCATCAATCATCGTCATCGTCATCATCGTCATCGTCATATCGTGTATTTATGTATTACATATGTATTTCTATATTGCAAGTTAAAGTGCATGCAAGTTGTAGGCTTTGCTCCTGTAATAAACATTGATTATCATAATGTTTCAAGGTTTTCCTGATCAGTATAAATAACTATTATCCACAGGTGTCGCCTTCAGAATTCGCCTTGAGGGTGGCAAAGGTATACTGAGTACACTGGATCCTCTTGCGGCAGGTCGAGAGTACAGGTCAGTATCCCTTATCCTGAAGGTATGAGAAGCCAAAAATACAAAAATATAAAAATATTCAGTGTGTAGCCATAGCCCCTATAATCAGTATGGCTATATCATAACGTCATAACGGTTAGCCTGCAGTGTGGTGCAATTGTAGCTTCTTCATCTTGCAATTTTGCGTTGAAATCCCGCGTTGAAATCCCGTATTGCCAGTGGATGGTAACCCCGGCCATTCCTTGCATACAGGGAGTGATTTAGAAGCATAATAAATAGACAGCTGTAATTTGACTGAAATCAAAAGTACCCATTACACCAAACTCGAAATTATTATTATTATTACTGTTATCATTATTATTATCAGCCTCATCATTATTATTACCATTATTTTTCTTAGTATTATCACTATTATTATTGTTATTATTATCATTGTTATCATTATTATCATTATTATCATGGTCATCATTATTGTACATGTATTTCTGCATTGCAAGTTGAAGTGCATGTAAGTTTCTGATTATTACTGAATTTTATATTACCGAATTTCATTATATTGCTGAAATATTACTGAATTTTCTTCTTACATTCCAGGATGGTTGTGGAGGCGGTGTCTTACGATGAGGTTGAACACTTCATCAAATACTCAACCAGATTCATCATCTTCCTTCACATTTCACAATACCCATACTAAGCAAAGCGCTGCAGTGTAATACTTAACAATAGTTAGCAGTAGTACTAATAACCTGACACTTTCTTTTTTATTTCTCTTCAGTAATGATAGAGATGAGACTTATGGCTAGTATTTATTTTAGTGTGTCCTAAAGTTCTTTTTTTTTTCTTTTCGTATTGCAGTATCCTGTGACTGCTTGTTAGAGGTTGCATTCGGGTGTTTTGAGTTCGATGCTCGGGTTGCCTAAATAGTGTTCTCTCGAGGTATTTAATGATATATGTAATGCCAGCGATATTCAACATGTATTGGCTATTTACTTTGATAGGAGAATGAGAAATTAAGTGAATTTTTAACCAATTGAAAAACGTATATGGGTTGATTTGGTAGCTTATAATGCCCATTTCCACATCTACATCACCCGAGAAATGAAGTTTGTGATTCAGACCGGTTTGTCACGCAGGATAAAACTCTAACAGGGTACTGCATGCGGTTTTATATAAATGTGTATAAAAAGTGTTTTTGTTTCTTTTTTTTTAGAGAGAGATTTATTCCAAATAACATTCCAGGGTATGGAGCTATCTCTTGTATAATCCTATTTACTGTAAAAAAAGATCCACAGAAAACGTTTCGAAACGTTATTTTTATCTTCAGCGAATCTTTACTGACAATGCAGTTTTTGTCATTGCCCTGTCACTGTATTGTACTTGTCCCCCCTATCTTAATGTGAATTGCATTCATGTTAACTACATTTTCTAATAAAGAAAGTTCTAAAAGTAAAAAGCAAGAGTTTATTTTTTTATCATCCCCAAAGAAGAGAAGGAAATAAAGAGTGGAATTCTTCGAGAGAGTGTGACGATGAGGAAACGCCTTTGAAAAAGTCCTTGGGTTCTTGGAAAAAGTTCTCGGAATCCAAATCCAAAGTCCTTTTCCTTGGGTTGTTTCCCTGTATACTCGGACTTGTTTACGGGTTAATCTTTTATGCTTTTTGATAAAGAAGTAGAGTGAGAGATACATACAAAAATAGGAAAT